TCCTTACCACCACGATATAGACAATAGTACTGAAAGTGGTGTTAAACACCAACAATCAATCCTTACCACATTGATATAGGCAATAGTGTTGAAAGTAGTGTTAAACATCAACAATCAATCAATCCTTACCACCACGATATAGACAATAGTACTGAAAGTGGTGTTAAACATCAACAATCAATCAATCCTTACCACCACGATATAGACAATAGTACTGAAAGTGGTGTTAAACATCAACAATCAATCCATCCTTACCACCATACTGAAAGTGGTGTTAAACATCAACAATCAATCAATCCTTACCACCACGATATAGACAATAGTACTGAAAGTGGTGTTAAACATCAACAATCAATCAATCAATCCTTACCACCACGATATAGACAATAGAACTGAAAGTGGTGTTAAACATCAACAATCAATCAATCCTTACCACCACGATATAGACAATAGTACTGAAAGTGGTGTTAAACATCAACAATCAATCAATCAATCCTTACCACCACGATATAGACAATAGTACTGAAAGTGGTGCTAAACATCAACAATCAATCAATCCTTACCACCACGATATAGACAATAGTACTGAAAGTGGTGTTAAACACCAACAATCAATCAATCCTTAACACCTCGAAATAGACAATAGTACTGAAAGTGGTGTTAAACACCAACAATCAATCCTTACCACCACGATATAGACAATAGTACTGAAAGTGGTGTTAAACACCAACAATCAATCTATCAATCCTTACCACCAAGATATAGACAATAGTACTGAAAGTGGTGTTAAACACCAAAAATCAATCAATTCGTACCACCACGATATAGACAATAGAACTGAATGTGGTGTTAAACACCAACAATCAATCAATCAATCCTTACCACCACGATATAGACAATAGTACTGAAAGTGGTGTTTAACACCAACAATCAATCCATCAATCCTTACCACCAAGATATAGACAATAGTACTGAAAGTGGTGTTAAACACCAACAATCAATCAATCCTTACCACCTCGATATAGACAATAGTACTGAAAGTGGTGTTAAACACCAACAATCAATCCTTACCACCACGATATAGACAATAGTACTGAAAGTGGTGTTAAACACCAAAAATCAATCAATTCTTACCACCACGATATAGACAATAGTACTGAAAGTGGTGTTAAACACCAACAATCAATCAATCCTTACCACCTCGATATAGACAATAGTACTGAAAGTGGTGTTAAGCACCAACAATCAATCAATCCTTACCACCAAGATATAGACAATAGTACTGAAAGTGGTGTTAAACATCAACAATCAATTCTTACCACCACGATATAGACAATAGTACTGAAAGTGGTGTTAAACACCAACAATCAATCAACCCTTACCACCAAGATATAGACAATAGAACTGAAAGTGGTGTTTAACATCAACAATCAATCAATCCTTACCACCACGATATAGACAATAGTACTGAAAGTGGTGTTAAACACCAACAATCAATCAATCCTTACCACCATGATATAGACAATAGTGCTGAAAGTGGTGTTAAGCACCAACAATCAATCAATCCTCACCACCACGATATAGACAATAGTACTGAAAGTAGTGTTAAACACCAACAATCAATCAATCCATCCTTACCACCACGATATAGACATTAGTACTGAAAGTGGTGTTAAACACCAACAATCAATCCTTACCACATTGATATAGGCAATAGTGTTGAAAGTAGTGTTAAACATCAACAATCAATCAATCCTTACCACCACGATATAGACAATAGTACTGAAAGTGGTGTTAAACATCAACAATCAATCTATCCTTACCACCTCGATATAGACAATAGTACTGAAAGTGGTGTTAAACATCAACAATCAATCAATCCTTACCACCACGATATAGACAATAGTACTGAAAGTGGTGTTAAACATCAACAATCAATCCATCCTTACCACCATACTGAAAGTGGTGTTAAACATCAACAATCAATCAATCCTTACCACCACGATATAGACAATAGTACTGAAAGTGGTGTTAAACATCAACAATCAATCAATCAATCCTTACCACCACGATATAGACAATAGAACTGAAAGTGGTGTTAAACACCAACAATCAATCATCAATCCTTACCACCATGATATAGACAATAGTACTGAAAGTGGTGTTAAACACCAACAATTAATCAATCAATCCTTACCACAACGATATAGACAATAGTACTGAAAGTGGTGTTAAACACCAACAATCAATCAATCCTTACCACCTCGATATAGACAATAGTACTGAAAGTGGTGCTAAACATCAACAATCAATCAATCCTTACCACCACGATATAGACAATAGTACTGAAAGTGGTGTTAAACACCAACAATCAATCAATCCTTACCACCTCGATATAGACAATAGTACTGAAAGTGGTGTTAAACACCAACAATCAATCTATCAATCCTTACCACCAAGATATAGACAATAGTACTGAAAGTGGTGTTAAACACCAAAAATCAATCAATTCTTACCACCACGATATAGACAATAGTACTGAATGTGGTGTTAAACACCAACAATCAATCAATCAATCCTTACCACCACGATATAGACAATAGTACTTAAAGTGGTGTTTAACACCAACAATCAATCCATCAATCCTTACCACCACGATATAGACAATAGTACTGAAAGTGGTGTTAAACACCAACAATCAATCTATCAATCCTTACCACCAAGATATAGACAATAGTACTGAAAGTGGTGTTAAACACCCAAAATCAATCAATCCTTACCACCAAGATATAGACAATAGTACTGAAAGTGGTGTTAAACACCAACAATCAATCAACCCTTACCACCAAGATATAGACAATAGAACTGAAAGTGGTGTTTAACATCAACAATCAATCAATCCTTACCACCACGATATAGACAATAGTACTGAAAGTGGTGTTAAACATCAACAATCAATCAATCCATCCTTACCACCAAGATATAGACAATAGTACTGAAAGTGGTGTTAAACACCAACAATCAATCAATCCTTACCACCATGATATAGACAATAGTACTGAAAGTGGTGTTAAGCACCAACAATCAATCAATCCTCACCACCACGATATAGACAATAGTACTGAAAGTAGTGTTAAACACCAACAATCAATCAATCCTTACCACCAAGATATAGACATTAGTACTGAAAGTGGTGTTAAACACCAACAATCAATCCATCATTACCACCACGATATAGACAATAGAACTGAAAGTGGTTTTAAACATCAACAATCAATCAATCAATCCTTACCACCACGATATAGACAATAGTACTGAAAGTGGTGTTAAACACCAACAATCAATCAATCCTTACCACCACGATATAGACAATAGTACTGAATTTGAAAGTGGTGTTAAACACCAACAATCAATCAATCCTTACCACCACGATATAGACAATAGTACTGGAATTGGTGTTAAACATCAACAATCAATCAATCCTTACCAGCACGATATAGACAATAGTACTGAAAGTGGTGTTAAACACCAAAAATCAATCAATCCTTACCACCAAGATATAGACAATAGTACTGAAAGTGGTGTTAAACACCAACAATCAATCAACCCTTACCACCAAGATATAGACAATAGAACTGAAAGTGGTGTTTAACATCAACAATCAATCAATCCTTACCACCACGATATAGACAATAGTACTGAAAGTGGTGTTAAACATCAACAATCAATCAATCCTTACCACCACGATATAGACAATAGTACTGAAAGTGGTGTTAAACACCAACAATCAATCAATCCTTACCACCACGATATAGACAATAGTACTGAAAGTGGTGTTAAGCACCAACAATCAATCAATCCTCACCACGATATAGACAATAGTACTGAAAGTAGTGTTAAACACCAACAATCAATCAATCCTTACCACCACGATATAGACATTAGTACTGAAAGTGGTGTTAAACACCAAAAATCAATCCATCATTACCACCACGATATAGACAATAGAACTGAAAGTGGTTTTAAACATCAACAATCAATCAATCAATCCTTACCACCACGATATAGACAATAGTACTGAAAGTGGTGTTAAACACCAACAATCAATCAATCCTTACCACCACGATATAGACAATAGTACTGAATTTGAAAGTGGTGTTAAACACCAACAATCAATCAATCCTTACCACCACGATATAGACAATAGTACTGGAATTGGTGTTAAACATCAACAATCAATCAATCCTTACCAGCACGATATAGACAATAGTACTGAAAGTGGTGTTAAACACCAACAATCAATCAATCAATCCAATTTAGTTTTTGCCAAAATGCCAAGGTTCTCAAGCGATACACTCTTGTTTGAGGCTCTTGTCTAATTTTCATTTCTGCTTTTTATCTTTAAACTACAAAACCTGGTTGAGCAAAAATGATCAGCAAGACAGGTTTTGGCAGAAATTTTCCAATAAACACAAATATTCTTGTTGCATTGTTTAAATTTTGAGGGGCAAAAATGCTGGGTAAGCCATATACAGGCTCCTTCGAGCCTATATAGTTTAGTTATACCCCAAATACTATCTTAGCTTAAGGGACAATTTTATTTTACGGTTGAACATATCTGTACTTAATTTACCACAAATTACATACTTCAAATGGAGGTTATCCAAAAATTGACGGAGACATAATCAAGACAAATGGTAACAAGTGTAAGGTCACAGAATATTAGAATATTCTACAGTTGGAATAATTTTCGATTCAAAGGTGCATTTAAAATGCTCTTGCAAATAAACACAAAGTAAATTCAAAAACAACCTGTACACTTTAAATCTGGGCCTCACAATTTTTTGGAAAATATGAAAATTTTATCGATAAATATATTATATAATGTGTAACATTTTTATTGTATATTATTTTTGGGGGGTTTATATTTTAGAAATTTAATAGTTCTACAAGAAATATGAGTAAAGGTATATTCACAGTGCATATTCCTTATTTTTCAGTCTGTCATGTCAGAGGAATCTTCAGGTGTGACTGCTGGTCAAGGGATGGAAGGTAATTTTCATTAATAATTTCTGTAATAAATATTTGGTATTTTAAAAGTGTTTGGTGTATATGTCTGTCTGGCAGAGTTCATATCAGGATCTTTTGTGGCCAACTACATACCTTAAATTCGAAATTATTGCGTGCATTTATTATTGCGATTTTTTTGTACGACCGCAAATTTATTTGCAGTAGTATTATGTTATGGTGTTGTCTGCGTCTGCGTCTGAAGACATTTTGGTTCGCAGACAATAACTTGATTATAAGTTCATGGATCTCTATGAAATTTTAGCACAACATTCCATACCACTAAAGAACGGTTGGGATTGTTTCGGGGGGCTATTGTCCTAGCTATTTAGCTCACCTGGCCCAAAGGGCCAAGTGAGCTTTTCTCATCACTTGGCGTCCGTCGTCCGTTGTCGTCGTCCGTTAACTTTTACAAAAATCTTCTCCTCTGAAACTACTAGGCCAAATTTAACCAAACTTGGCCACAATCATCATTAGGGTGTCTAGTTTAAAAAATGTGTCCGATGACCCGGTCAACCAACCAAGATGGCCGACATGGCTATAAATAGAACATAGGGGTAAAATGTAGATTTTGGCTTATATCTCTGAAACCAAAGCATTTAGAGCAAATCTGACATGGGGTAAAATTGTTTATCAGGTCAAGATCTATCTGCCCTGAAATTTTCAGATGAATCAAACATCCCGTTGCTGCCCCTGAATTGGTAATTTTAAGAAAATTTTGCAGCTTTTGGTTATTATCTTGAATATTATTATAGGTAGAGATAAACTGTTAACAGCAATAATGTACAGCAAAGTAAGATCTACAAATAAGTCAAACTGACCAAAATTGTCAATTGACCCCTTAAGGAGTTATTGCCCTTTATAGTAAATTTTTTACAATTTTCATAAATTTTGTAAATTTTTGTAAAGGTTATTGTCGTAGCTGTTTAGGAATTAGGGGCCAAAAAGGGGCCAAAAACAAGCATTTTTCATGTTTCAGGACAATAATTGGTGTATAAGAATATAGATTTCTATGAAATTTTACCACAAGGTTCCATACTTCAAAGAAGTTTAGAATGAGGTTTGTCGAGCCTGCGACTTTTGTCGCAAAAAAAGTCGCAAAAGCGAGACATAGTGATCCTACATTCCGTCGTCGTCGTCGGTGGGGGCATCCACAAATATTCACTCTGTGGTTAAAAGTTTTTGAAATTTTAATAACTTTCTTAAACTATCCTGGATTTCTACCAAACTTGGACAGAAGCTTGTTTATGATCATTCATAAGACAGTATCCAGAAGTAAATTTTGCAAAAAAAAAAAATCCTGTTTATCCGTATTTTACTTATAAATAGACTTAGTTTTTCTGCCAGTTAACATTACATTCACTCTGTGGTTAAAGTTTTTAAAATTTTAATAACTTTCTTAATCTATCCTGGATTTCTACCAAACTTGGACAGAAGCTTGTTTATGATCATAAGACAGTATCTAGAAAGAAATTTTGTAAAAATTTATTACCTGTTTTTTCGTATACTACTGGACTTAGTTTTTCTTCCAGTTAACATTACATATAGTCTGCAGTTAAAGTTTTAAAAACATTTATAAGTTCCATAAACCATCCTGGATTCTTACCAGACTTGGACAGAAGCTTCTTACAATCAAAAGATAGTATCTAGAGGAAAATGTTTAAAAAAAATTTCCCCATTTTTGTTGAGCCTGCGACTAACGGCAAAAGTAGGCGAGACACTGGGTTCTGCGGAACCCTTACGAATTTTTGAGTGTCATGGCCCATACCGTTTAATAATTAGGGGTCGAAAAGGGGCAGAAGACAATTATTTTTCTAGGTTGCAGGCAATAACTTGAATATAAGTGTATGGATCTCTATTCAATTTTAGCACAAGGTTCCATACCACAATAGGAAGGTTGGGTTTTTTTTCGGGGGTTATTATAGTAGCTGTTTAGGAATTAGGGACCAGAAAGAGCCTAACAAAAACAATTATTTGTCTGGTTCACAGACAATAACTTGTATAACTGTATATATCTGTATAAAATTTAAGCACAAGGTTGCATTCCACAATAGGAAGGATGGGATTTATTTTGGGGGTTATTGTTGTAGCTATTTAGTAAGTAAGGACCAAAAAGGGATCAAAACAAGCATTTTTCATGTTTCAGGACACTAATTTGTGTATTAGAGTGGGTTTCTATGAAACTTTACTACAAGGTTCCATACTTCAAAAGGAATGTTGAGAGTGATTTTAGGGGTCATGGTCCAAACCGTTTAATAATAAGGGGCTGAAAAGGGGCAAAAAAAACAAGGATTTTCTGTTTTCTGGACAATAATTTGAGTATAAGCCTATTTATTGCTATTTAATTGTGCCACAAGTTGTTATACCATATAATATAGTTTGGTATTGATTTTAGGTGTTATAACCTTATTGGTTTAGTTAAAAGAGGCCCAAACCAATACTTTGTATAAATTGCTAATTGTTTAGCAATTTCAGTGGTGTTTAATTCAATAGTCTTGAATTCTTTGGGGTCTTTAATATGCTGAATCTAATTAGGTATTTAATATTTGGATTTTAGGGTCTGTTTTTGAAATGATTCATATTAAGGTCCAAAGGGTCCAAAATTAAACTTTGTTTGATTTCTTTAGAAATTGAACTATTTGTGTTCCTTGATATACTGGATCTAATTGTGTTATAAGATTTTTTGAATCTGAGGCCTGTTTTCAAATTGATCCACATTAACATGATTAAGGTCCATGGGTCCTAAATACAACTTTTTTTTTATTTAAAAAAAAATTGAATTCTTGGAGTTCTTTGATATGCTGTATCTAAAGGTGTATTAAGATTTTTGATTTGGGGCATGGTCGGCCCACATTAAGGTCCAAAGGGTCCAAAATTAAACTTTGTTTGATTTAAAGAAAAAAAAATAGTTGGGCTTCTTTGATATGCTGAATCGAAGCTTGTATTTAGATATTTGATTTTGGGCACAGTATTCAACATGGTTCAAATTGGGGTCCAAAATTGAACATTTTTTGATAACATCAAAAATTAAATTGTTTGTGTTATTTGATATGGTCAATATAATAGTGTTTTAAATTTTTTGATTTTGTGCTTGGTTTTCAAAGTTGGTCCAAATTTGGGTCCAAAATTAGACTGTTTGATTTCTTCAAAAAATAAATCATTGGTGTTCTTTAATGTGTGCAATCTAACAGTGTTTAAAATTTTTGATTTTGGGCTTGTTTTTCAAACTGGACCCCATAAAGGTCCAAAGTATCCAAAATAAAACTTAGTTTGATTTTAACAAAAAAATGAAACAATGTGGTTATTTGATATGCTGAATCCAACCATGTATTTAGAATTTGAATAATGGACCATAATTGGTAAATGTCTAATTTTGAAATTATTTAAGAACTTATACCACATTCATTCTGTCATGTCTGTGTCAGAAACTATGCTTTTATTACATATTTGCTCAGAATCTAAATTCAGAGACGTTATAGGAAAATTAACAGAAATTTTAATTCGGGTCATAGTTGAAAATAGATAAAACACCAAATCAATTTTAGAGAACTATTTTTGTGGTATACATCACTGGTTCATGGAAAATAAATTAGTTTAAAGACAATAACTTTAGTATAAGTGTATGGATGTGTAAGAAATTGAAGCACAAGGTTCCATACCACAATTGGAGGGTTGGGATATTAAATAGTTAATCAAGCTCTACATTTATAGATTTATTAGGTCTTTCCACTTTTCTGTGGAAAGACCTATTGTATTTGTTCTGATTATTATTATTATTATTATTATTAGCTCACCTGACCTGAAAGGTCAAGTGAGCTTTTCTCATCACTTTGCGTCTGTCGTCCGTAAACTTTTACAAAAATCTTCTCCTCTGAAACTACTGGGCCAAATTTGACCAAACTTGGCCACAATCATCATTGGGGTATCTAGTTTAAAAAATATGTCCGATGACCCCGCCAACCAACCAAGATGGCCGCCATGGCTAAAAATAGAACATAGGGGTAAAATGTAGATTTTGGCTTATATCTCTGAAACCAAAGCATTTAGAGCTAATCTGACATGGGGTAAATTGTTTATCAGGTCAAGATCTATCTGCCCTGAAATTTTCAGATGAATTGGACAACCCGTTGTTGGGTTGCTGCCCCTGAATTGGTAATTTTAAGGAAATTTTGCTGTTTTTGGTTATTATCTTGAATGTTATTATAGATAGAGATAAACTGTAAACAGCAATAATGTTCAGCAAAGTATGATCTACAAATAAGTCAACTTGACCAAAATGGTCAGTTGACCCCTTAAGGAGTTATTGCCCTTTATAGTCAATTTTTAACCATTTTTCGTAAATTTTTGTAATCTTTTACAAAAATCTTCTCCTCTGAAACTACTAAGACAAATTTAACCAAAATTGTCCACAATCATCATTAGGGTATCTTGTTTAAAAAATGTGTCCGATGACCCTGCCCGCAAACCAAGATGGCCGACATGGCAAAAAAATAATACATAGGGTAAAAAGCAGTTTTTGGCTCATATCTCTGAAACCAAAGCATTTAGAGCAAATCTGATGGTATAAAATTGTTCATTAGGTCAAGATCTATCTGCCCTGAAATTTTCAGACCAATCGGGCAACATGTTGTTGGGTTGCTGCCCCTGAATTGGTAATTTTAAGAAAATTTTGCAGCTTTTGGTTATTATCTTGAATATTATTATAGATAGAGATAAACTGTAACCAGCAATAATGTACAGCAAAGTTAGATCTACAAATAAGTCAACATGACCAAAATTGTCAATTGACCCCTTAAGGAGTTATTGCCCTTTATAGTCAATTTTTACAATTTTCATAAATTTTGTAAATTTTTGTAAATTTTTACAAAATAATATCCACTGAACCTACTGGGCCAAGTTCATTATAGATAGAGATAATAGTAAGGAGCAAGAATGTTCAGTAAAGTAAGATCTACAAACACATCACCATCACCAAAACACAATTT